TGGAGACTAGAAAATTGAGAGCTTTTCTTTATTTCTTTGAGCAAGAGAATTCGGCCAAGAAGCTTGCAAAATGAAGAGATTTTTGGCCAATTTTAATTAAATGGTAAAGTTATGAATAGTAGTCAAACTCAAGACTAAATCTTATGGTGACACTTGTCACCTTTAGGTTTAAAACTTATCTTTTTGTCTCTCCAATACAAATATCTTAACACTTTGTAAAATAATATCACTTAATATAAAATTCCAACAAGTTGTCAAAATTATAATGCATTTACCGCACTTGCGGGTCCCACGTTCAAAATACGCTCTTAATTTCTCAAAAACTAACCGATACTAGAAAAATCATTTTAAAACTATCTTTGCTCATAAACTTTATCTGGGGAATTTTTCTAATAAAGAAAATGTAGAAAAGGCGGGCGATTAAATAAAATAAACCCTAAAAAATTAGAAAATTTCTGGGTTCTCACTCTCATTCTTTTCGGGGCGTCACAAAGCGCAGAGAGTCGAGAGTGCAAGAATGCAAGTTAGGGACTTCCACAATAAGAAAATGAACTTTTCTAGTCATACTTCTGGACAAACTGATAAAAGTGCACCACCTTCCAAGATGGGAAGAGGAACGGGAGGAGTGAGGACCAATGGAGTTTTGAGAGGAGCTTTATCCAGGGGAGGTCGTAGTGGGCCAGTTCAAGCCAGAGGAGTGTCTTTTAGTAGTTCGGCAGCGACACCTCAAGTTAACTGTGGTTACTGTGGTAAACCCAATCATTCGGAGAATGAGTGTTGGAGGAAGTCGGGAAAGTGTTTGTTCTGTGATAGTTGTAGACACCAAATTTTTAGTTTATTTTTATTTTTTTATGTTAGTTATTATTTATTTTTCGTCTCTTATTCTTATTTTTATTTTTATTTTTAAGATATTTTAGCATAAAAGTTATTGGAAAAAAGAAAATTATTCACAAAAAAAAATATGTTTTATTTCTTTTAAGATTCAAGCTTACTGTTTATTAATTGGAAAAAGGAAAAAGGGGAAAAATCATTAATCAGACACGAAAGTTTTCTTATCATTTCGTTTTATTATTATTATTATTATTTTTTATTATTCCTGGTTTTGATCATTATATTTGATTGTTATGTAAAATGTTATTTTTGTTTATTAAATTAAAAAAAAAGAAGAAGAAAACGAATGTCACGCGCGCGTGCCCTTTTTTTTCTTCTTATAAGCAGCCGAAGCAAAGCTCAGATATCAGAAAAACACAGCGCAATTCCATTTCTTTTCCCATCGTTTTGTCCATCATTTTTTCTTTACCATTGGATTACTTTAACTCCATTCCATTTGGCTCTCATCAACACCATTGATGTGAGGGTTTAGAGAGTTGGGTTTTGATATAAAAGGAAAGGCAGCCAAGGTTTTAGGGGGGGAACCGGGCATGACGACTGAAAATTTTGGGAGAGGGTAAGAGAATCTGGTGTGATGGCTGGAGTGAGAGATAGGAAGGTAGCTACGGGCTGAGGGTTTGAGGAAAGAAAAAAAAACCAAGAGAAGGACCGAGAGCTACGCTGAGAGAAAAGGTTACGGGTTTGGAGGGAAAAAGCGGAGGAAGCCGAGAGAGATAGAGTTTCTGGGCAGAGAGGAAAAAAAAAACCAGAGGAAGAGAGAACTTTCGGCAGTAGCAAGAGAGGTGACTGAAGCTGGAAAAGAGGAAATAAATCAAGATGGGACCGGGAGGAGGAAGAACTTCAAGCTGAGGGTCAAAGATTTTCTCACCATTTTCACGATTCTCCTAGAGTTATCGTACGTCCAAAACGTTTGCTGGGATAGAAGGTAATCATCTCTGTCTTTGGTTCTCGGAGAAACGTTCATGTTAGATTTCAGATTTGATAAGTTTGTGTGGGGATTTACGGTTTTGTGTTCCTATTTTTTTTTTTTTTTTATCTGAGTCCGGTTTAGTTGTTTTTGCTCCCTCTAGCAGCCCAATGGATTAGGTTTTTTCATTGTAAAGAATTCGTTGCTTAATCCTGCCTTCATCAAGTGAAATCTGATGGTTAATGTTTGGTGAAAAATTGTTACTCCAAGTTGCTTGTTTGGTCTGATATGCCGCGGGTTTGAAAATCAGAAATTTGTAAGGCTTCATGAACAAATCTGGTTTTGCTAGCTTTTCTTCCAACTCATATTTTACTCTTGTTTGCGTGCTTAGTATTGAATCCTGATGATGTGTTTGGGAGTCTTTCTGTAGGGTTTTTTTTTGTCCTCTGATGAATCCGTGATGGTTGCTTGAGTCATGCCCAGAATGCATACAATAAAAGTCAGTTGTCCACCTACCGTTTCTATGCTTGCTCGATAGAGTCCTCTGGCTGTGAGCAGTTTATCTTGAGTTCATAAAGTAAAGAATTTGGCCTGGGTTTGGGGAACAGAAGCTTGGGGTTTATGACGGTTTGGTTGCTGGGTTTCTTTGAGCTTTTGTGTCAAAATATCTGTTTGTGTTTGAACTGCAAATTTGCAGTAGAAAGTTGCAGCAAGAAGTCTTGACCGAACTTAACCCGGAATAAATCTTGAATGGGCTTTTAGTTTGTTAGTTTTACAGCTCCTTTTTGTTTGCATGATTGAAGTTCTGTCTCAAATTTTCCCGAGCTATGTGGGTTGTTAAATGGGTTCAGTTATGCATGTCTATCCTAAGTTTTTTGCTTTCCATCTCTGCTGCATTTTTTCCATTCAATTGCATCATGGAGCTGTTGATGGTTGTAATGTTTTCCTGATGCATATAAAGGCCTGCGTCCCTTGCTACATTTTTTTCATTTCTTTTACTGTTGAGCAACTCAGATTTCCAGCTTTGATTTTGCTACAAAAATGTAATGCTCGGTTGAATGAATGATTGAGACTTGTAGTGTATGCTTCTTTTGATTAAAAATCTGGATATTCATCAGACTTGTCTTCAATGATGAATTAGAAGAAAGCCACGGTTGGGAATAAAATTATTGCAGAGAATATTTGTTGTTCAAAAGAAAAGTTCCTCATGGCTTTGTATGTTCTTTTCAAAGGATTCTACACTTGGCATGTGAATAATTTGACCCATATCAGTTCTCCTTTAGAAGAATATGTTTTCAGTTTTGCCGTTGTCGTTTCATTGATGCCATTTTGAATGAAAGCTGTCGGTTTCCTCCATCCGATGACCTGGAGAGCTGTTTTGCTGTGAATGCTGAAGTTTTTATTTGCAAGATTATGGTTGGACCTTAGATTCTTATCTTGTGAATTTGTTTGAAGTTCCTGCAGAGCTTTAAGCTATTTTTTGTTGCATTTTGATGAGTTGCAAATCTGCAGCAGAACAAAAACTTTTGCATCCTCTTTGCTGTTTTCTTTTCTGCAACCGCTCACCAAGCTTCGGCCATCCAACTTGCTGATTGGTCTTATATTGGAAAGATGAATTAAATAAGTGGTGTTGGATTTGCATGTCTGGGATCTAAAATACTTGAACTATGATCAAATACTTGCTGCAAAATGAACAAATCAGGTTATCGAACCCTTTTGCATAAAATTCTCCAGTATTTGCATGATTTTCCTTCTATGCTTCAGTTTGTTTTGGATGTTGAAAATTGTGTGTCATGTTGCTTAGATTAAGTTTTCGGGATCTTGGTTGGAAAGCAATGCTTTTGTTGTGTTTGAAAGTTGCAGCTGCATTTTTCTTTGGATGGCAGACGGTCTTCATTAGATGCTTCAATCTTCCTATTGCTGAAATATTTCACGGACCTTTTGCATGAAGTTTGCATGAGATCTTCATAAAATTGCACTTTGGCCCCCAAGTCTCCCTTTGTTTCACTATGGCCCAAACAATTGAAAAATCAATCAAATTAATCCCTTAAATTTCTTTAATTTTTGCAATCAAGTTTCTACTTGTTCTAATTTTCTTAAACATAGGTTGTTTGCTTTTTTTTTTAAGTGCTTTTGATTGATTTAATTTATGCTTATTTCTATTTCATGTGATTATTTTGTTAATTAAAGTGATGCCTTGACCCCTTTCTTTGTTTTTGGAGGGTAAGTAAGTAAATTCGTGTCATTAAGGCTCCAACTCAAGGGAGGTACACTCTATCCCTTATTTCTTACTTTATTTGATTCTATATGCCCTATGTGACTTTACGTGTGTAATTGCATGCCTTTTGAATGTTTTTTTATTTCATTTATTTATTTATTTGTTTTATTGGCTTTAATTTTGTATATTTATTTTAGTTCAATTTTGATCATTCGAAAGGCACTTGAATGCCAAATTTGTAATAGTTAGGTATTTATTTTAATTATTTTATTTCATTTCATTCATGAACGAGACCGATTTTTCAAAAACGGTCCTCCTGCTAGGGAAAAACTTGCATGCTAGGGTTTGCTGTTAGGGTTTCGTCCGCCTTGCATGGAGGGTCCTCCGTGGCCACCGCCAGCCACAGGGGGCACATCTGGAGGAACAACTGCGCCCAAGTCCTTTGCCGACGTGCTTGCAGGTCCATGTCGGGTGGAGCCAACTGTTCCAGATCTGGGGCGTTCTGCGACACATCGTGGCGAACCAGCGCTGCTACTTTCTCAGAATGATCTGCATCTGCTCTCGTTACCATTCAAAAATGCATTGGTGGGACGGTTTCCGTTTCGTCGGCCTCCAATGGAGGTCATTCGGGGTTTTTTTGTTTCTCTGGGTCTCAAGGGAGATTGTGATGTCGGCCTTCTGGATTTGAACCACGTTCTGATCCGACCATCAACTGAGGAGGACTTTACTCGGCTGTTCGTGCGCCGTTCCTGGTTCGTGAAGGGCGCACAGATGCTGGTTTCAAAATGGACATTGGACTTCAAAGCCCATCAGGATTCGACTTTTGCGCCTGTGTGGGTGTCCATGCCAGCGCTTCCTTTGCCTTTATTTAATTCGGTGTACATTGCCAAACTAGCAGGTTTGTTGGGTCGATGTCTGAAGATTGACTAGGCGACAGTGAAGCTCAAACGGCCTTCGGTTGCGAGGGTTCTGATTGAGATGGACATGTCGAAGCAACCCCCTCATCGCATCTGGATTGGGGAGGACCAGGAGGGGTTCTGGCAGGAGGTGGAATACGAATCTTGGCCAAAATTTTGTGGATTCTGTGTTCGTTTTGGACATGACGACGGGGAATGTTTTAGGCAACATCCCGATCTTAAACCTGTAAACAGGATGGTTACGGCGAGAGGGAAGTCTAAGCAGGTTTACCGGGCTAAGGGTTTCAGTGACACTAATGGGCCTGCTTTAGGGCTTCTGCAGAGTGGGGAGTGTCATCAGCAGCCGGAGGGAGCATTGGTTTCTGGCCAAAATAGTGAAGGGAAGTGTGTTACTTGTGACCCTGGGACGACTGTGCAATTGGAACTGGATGGGACGGAAATTGCAATGTAGCGGACGGCGTCGGATCCGGAGGTGGGCCCTATTTTGGTGGAGCCTTCTATTCCGTCGGTAGCTGTTGAAGCGGTCGCTGGGGCTGAGATTACTGGTTTTTGACAACTTCGGCCGGAGATGATGCTTCATATGAGCCGTCGTCGAGGGAGACATCGGAGGAGGTGCATGGCGGGGAGAGGGTGGAATGCGGGAATAACTTTGCTGTCTTACAATCTCTCTCAGACCTGGAGTTTCAGGATGTCGATCGCATCCCATTCAGTTCGGCGTGTCAGGGTCGGACTGCTAGGCAGAGGCATAGACGTCTATGTTCTGATGGGGACATACCGGGGGAGGCGGCGCCATGGGAGCAATTAAAACAATTTCAGGCGGTGTTGCATCAAAGGCTGTCCGCGGCTCAGACAGGCTCAAGAGAAAGGTGTGGGACGGAAAATTTGGAAGGGTTGGAGCAGCCAGTGAATGCGGAGCATGGTCATCCAGGAGCGAGACACAGGGGTGGTCGGCCGGCAAAAGCAGACACCAGTCAGGGTAAGTTTCATCCCCAACCCCAAACTCATTATTCTTTGAGGTCTCATGTTAAATCCCATTAAGGTGGTAGTGTGGAATATTCGTGGGGCTTCACGTAAAGATTCCCTGCGATATTTAAATAAGATATGCAAAACTAATAAGATTCGATTGCTGGTTCTCCTGGAACCATTGTCGGAGTCCCCACAACTTGAGGTGGTACGTCGGTTTCTTGGGTTTGATAGGGCTTTGGGGGCATTGAATAACAAGGTGTGGGTCTTGTGGTATAATGAGATGTCATTGAGCTTCAGGGAAATGGCGGAACAACTGCTTCACATGACCATCGATTTCGCTTCTGGATGTTCGGTGCAGTTCTCGGCAGTCTATGCTCGGTGTACGAGGGTGGGCCGACGCGAGCTGTGGTCAGCAATGGAAAGTTTGGCGGGCGAAGTGCAGGGGCCTTGGTTACTAGCAGGAGATTTTAATGTAATCTCCTGTATGGAGGAGCGTGTGGGAGGAGCCCCGGCTAATGAAGCAAATATGGAAGAATTCAATGAGTCCATTGGTAATTGTGGTTTGGCTGAGGTCCCTTTTGATGGTGCTGAATTCACCTGGACGAATGGGAGGATGTGGCAGAGTTTGGATAGGGCCTTAATGAATCGGGAGTGGGCGGATGGGTATGACCTCTCGCATGTCTCACATTTGGCTAGGGGACGTTCGGATCATGCTCCACTGCTGATTTGTTGTCAGAATGGGAATCCCAGCAAACGGTCATTCAAATTTCTAAATGTTTGGCGGCATCATGCAGGTTTCAAGGATGTGGTGAAGAAGAGCTGGGAGATGCCGGCGGAGGGTGAGGGTATGCCGAGGTTTTATAATAAATTACGGGCGGTTAAGGGTGGGCTGCAAGTATGGAACGCCCAGGTTTTTGGAAACATTTTCAATAAGGTGAAGGCGGCTGAGGCAGTTATGAAACAACGTGAGGAGGAGTTTGACAATGAACGAGGGTCTGTTTCCAGGGCAGCGTTGGAGGAGGCAAAGGCGGTTTATGCAAGGAGCTTGGCAGAGGAATGTGAGTACTGGAGACAGAAGGCGGGCATCAAATGGTTACAGGTGGGAGATGCTAATTCGGCTTATTTCCACTCTCGTTACCGCCAGCGCCGAAATGTCAATTTTGTGGCTCGCATTAAGGATCCGGCAGGCCCATGGCTGGAGGATATTCATGATATCAGGAGGTCTGCGGTGGAGTTCGTCTCCTCTTTGTTCTCTTCGGAACAACATGGGTGGCAGTCGCCTGCCATTCCCTTTACGATGCCTAAATTGTCTGCGGCAGATAATGATATGCTTTCGGCTGCTCCAGGCATGGCGGAATTACAGGAGGTGGTGCATGGGTTGGATGCTGATAGTGCTCCTGGACCAGATGGGTTTGGGGCAGGTTTTTACCAAGCTTGTTGGGATATTATCAAGGCAGATCTATTGGAGGCGGTTCAGGCTTTTTTCCAGGGTATGTGCTTGCCTAGGAGTTTTACTAGTACTTCGATTATTTTGCTGCCTAAGCTTGCAGGTGCCACGCGCTGGAAGGACTTTCGGCCTATTAGTCTTTGCAACACTTGTACAAAAATTATTTCTAAGATTGTGGCTAATCGGTTGGGGAGAGTCCTACCTGCCTTAGTTTCACCATGGCAAACGGGGTTCGTACCTGGTCGGGGGATAACGGATAACATCCTTCTCACGCAGGAACTGGTGTTGGATTTGGACAGGCGGTTGAGACATCCGAACCTCATATTAAAATTGGACATGGAAAAGACGTATGACAGGGTTGAGTGGCCTTTTCTGTTGTTTATGCTTCGGCAGTTTGGTTTTGCAGAACATGTGGTAGACATATTCTTTCGCCTGGTTTCCAATAATTGGTTCTCAGTTTTGGTGAATGGGAAGGCGGCTGGATTTTTTAAGGCTTCACGGGGTGTTAGGCAGGGGGACCCGGTGTCTCCTGGCCTTTTTGTGTTAGTTGCAGAATTCTTAGGCCGCGGCTTGCATCACCTCTTAGGTAGGCAGCCGGGCAGGTATTTTGTTTCAGCCGGGATCCAGGTGCCGTACCTAGCCTTCGCGGATGACATGCTTGTCTTTACTAGATGCTCTGAGGAGTGTCTGACCGCAGTTAAGGCTTTCCTTGCAGAGTATCAAGAAGCGTCGGGCCAGAGGGTGAATGTCGACAAGAGCTCATTTTTCTTGGCGTCGGGGGCTACTTCGGGGCAGGAGCACATGGTCGCTAGGGTCCTGGGTTTTCACAGGCAATCTTTCCCGTTTGTTTATCTGGGTGCCCCTATTTATAAGGGTCGGCGGAGGAATGTGCTTTTTGATGGGATTGTGGCTAAAATGCGGGCTCACCTTGGCCATTGGAGTACTAAGCTGCTCTCATTTGGGGGTAAGCTGGTCTTAGCGAGGCATGTCTTAGCGTCGTTGCCTATGTACTTACTTCAGGTGGTTAATCCCCCAAAGGCGGTGTTGACACGTTTGGGAGTCATTTGCAACACCTTCCTGTGGGATCGAATGGGGGAGAGGCGTATACATTGGTCATCTTGGGACAAGTTATGCTTTCCGCTTGAGGAAGGGGGTCTGGGGTTTAGGTCTTTTAAGGACTTGGCAAGGGCTTTTGCGGCTAAACTTTGGTGGCGTTTCCGGTGTGGAGATTCAATGTGGGCGGAGTTCATGCACGCCAAATACTGTAGTAGGAGCCATCCATCGGATGTCTCTTCTGTTCGGCCGTCAGCTACTTGGCGGCGGCTTGAGGCGATTCGGTCTTGGGTTGAGCCGAACATGAGGTGGTGTGTAGGTAAAGGCCTAGTAGATTTTTGGAAGGATAGATGGGTGCTTCAGGACCCGTTAGAGGTGGTTGTGGGCCGAGGTGAGAGGCCTCATTTTCTGGTGGCGGAGTTCATTTCGGATGCAGGCTGGGATGAGGTTCGTCTTGCCAAGTGGGTTCCGGGTTTTGTCATCCGTGCAATCAAGGACATACCCTTTGATCTGTCCCAGAAGGATAGGTTGGTTTGGTCGCTTTCGCCGTCGGGGACTTTCTCGGTCAAGTCGGCATGGGAGTTGCTTCGGCAACGGCGACATCACTCCTTGGTCGACTCCTTACTGTGGTCGCCGGTTTTGCCAGCCAAAATGTCATTTTTTGCTTGGAGGTTAGTGCGAAACTTCCTCCCTTTGGATGTGGGGTTAAGGTCTCGAGGTTTGCCTCTTCCCTCGAGATGTGGGTGCTGTTACCGGGAGGAGGAGACGCTTCTGCATGTTTTTCTGTCAGGTCCGGTAGCTTCGGAAGTTTGGAGGAGAATCTCTGCCTGGTTTGGGTTTCACTTGAGTAATTGCCCGAGTATGGCGTCGGTGTTTATCTCTTGGTACTTTACTTCAGCAACATCGGCAAAAAATCATATTCGGGTTTTTATGCCATTAGTGGTGTGTTGGTTTCTTTGGGTTGCTAGGAACCAGGAGCGCTTTCAGGGAGTACGGTGGGAGGTGAACAAGATAATCCGTGAGGTGGATTATTTTTGGGAACAGCTTGGGAAGGCAAATAAGCTTCGCCGGTCGCATTTCACGGGGGATGTCGATTGTGAGTTGGTTCAATGGGTCAAGGCTCCTTCTCGGAGAAGGGCTCCGTGTGCGATTGCCTGGATCAAACCGCCGCCTGGTGTGCTGAAACTCAATTCGGACGCCAGTGTGGTTCAAGGTCTGGCCACGGGTGGTGGTCTGCTGCGCGATTGTCAGGGGAAATTGATTTTTGCTTTCTACAAGGAGTTCAGGGATCAGGATGTGTTAGGGGCGGAGTGTATGGCATTATTGTTTGGTCTGCAGTTGTGTTCACAAAAGGGGCTGCGTCCTTCGTTGGTGGAGGTGGACTCCAAGGCTTTGGTGCAGTTGGTCGTTTCGGGGGCTATTGCTAAATGGCCTTTGTGTAACAGTTTGAGGAAAGTGAGAGGTCTCCTCAAGGACTTCACTGCTTCCATTTCACATATTTACCGTGAGGCCAACGTACCTGCAGACCGGTTAGCTGCGGTTGGGGCAACTGGTGCCCAGGTATATGAGCACGAGCTCCAGCTGCCGGCGATGGTTAGGGCTACTATTCTCCTTGACTCTCGTGGGGTGCCGGGTGTGCGTTGGATAAATGAAGGCGATTAGAATAGTGAAATGCTTGGAGGCTGTAATTGGGAAGGTTGTTCCCTAGTTTGATCTTTCGTTTTTTCAATAAAATGTGGGGCGCTTGTCCTCTTGGAAAAAAAAAATTATTTTATTTCATTTCCCCCTTTAGATTGTAGTAGGCTCCCCCTAATGTAATAGATAGGGTTTGTTTGCTTTCTTTGCTTGTGTGATTTGCATGCTTATGTGCTATGTGTTACCGCTTTCTTAGGGCCTTGTATCTAGATATTATGATTATGTGTTATGTGTTTATGTGATATTATGTGTTTACATGCTTTTATTAGGTCTTACATGATTTATTTGATTGTAACAAATGCATGTCGTCACCACACTAGTCCAATGCTAGTTGTGGCCGCCTTTCCCGAATCCACACTAGTCCAATGCTAGTTGTGGCTCTTTGTTCCGATTTTCCGCTAGTCCAATGCTAGTAAGGATTTGTAGACATGGGCTAGTCCAACGCTAGACCCTTAGGAGCCCTTCGAGCGTTAGATCATGGTTGTGTGATAAAATCACTGCATCTCATGCATGTTTTCACTTTTTAGGGTCTTTTCCATGTTGCATGACACTTTTCTTATATATACATCCTTTATTCCATATTCCTTTCTATTTATATCCCCTATTCCGTATTTTCCCTTTATATGTATATTCCTTACTCCTATGTGTGATACATAACATTAGATTTGCATTTCATTTAAGAATTAGGATTAGGATAGTACATTTGTTTGATTAGATTAGGGATAACCCCTTGAATATGGGATATGGATGAGTTTGGCTTTCTAGCTTTAGCACGCTCGTATTCCCTCTATTAAAGGGAAAATTAAGTCACGAACATTAGTCCCCCGTACCCAACATGATGCACTCCTTTAAGACACATATATTTGTATAATTATTTTATTCCTTTTCTTTTCTTTTCTTAGAGTCTCATATTTTTGCATTATTCGTGGCTTCTTCGAAGAGTCTTCATTGGGCATCACAATTAATGTGATTGGTGCGAAATAAGCTTTGAAGATACATTTCGACCCTCCGACACCCTCCTAGGTCTAGGGTTTGCATTCATATAGTACATCCAAATGTGACAAATTTTTAAGTTAAATTAAGAAAATCTTTGACTAAATCACGCAACTAGCCTTGGTTAGGTTGAAAGGGTGCCTTGAATTTTTATCCTCGCCTTCCCTTTCTTCAAATGTGACTCCCGAATCTTTTTCTCTGATTTTCGTAGACTTGGAGTCGTTTAAAAGGGGTTTTTCTACTTTTTCCTTTGAAAAATTCATTTTAGGTGACTTGGTACACCTTAACTCTATACCAAGTGGTGACTCCAATTTTGTTTTAAAAATCCTTTTTAAACTATAATTTGGGCCCAAATCGTCGCATTACAAGTCCCATTTAGGCCCTTTTCCTTTATTCATTTTCTAAAAAACAAAACTCACTTTTTCCAAAAATCAAAAATCCATTTTTTCTAAACTCGTTATTTATTTTAAAAAATGGGGTGCGACAGTAGTGCCGAACACCTGCTCGCGACTTGTCCAAGTTAACTAAAGGTAGGAGGTAGCACTCAAAGGTCAGAAAAGTCAACCTCTAAGCAGACTACTGCTGGAGGGAGCTGACCAAAGGTACCTGCTAGGGTTTATGCACTGGATCATCAACAGATACCCGATGCGACTGAGGTGGTTGAAGGTACGATCCCTATTTTCCACCGTTTAGCTAAGATTTTAATTGATCCGGGTGCAACACATTCTTTCGTAAATCCTGATTTCATGAGTGGAATAGACTTGAAGCCAATTAAGTTACCTTATGACTTGGAGGTTAGGATGCCTACTGGCGATTAAAGTCTAATCGCTAACTTGATATATAAGGATTGTGAGATCTGGGTTAGAGAACAGAGATTACTGGCTGATTTGATGGGTTAAGAGATTAAGGGGTATGATGTGATTCTAGGAATGGACTGGTTAGCCCGTTACAATGCCCAGTTGAACTGTAAGACGAAAATAGTAGAATTGTGCATTCCGGGAGAGGCATTCCGGGAGAGGCAACCCTGAAATTGGATGTAAGGAGTAGATTAGCCTCATCTGCACTTATCTCAGGGATCCGAGCTAGGAAAATGTTACGTAAGGGAGATCAGAGATACTTGACTTTTGTTATCAACACTCCTAGTGATAAAGTGAGACTGGAGGACATGCCTATAGTGAAAGAGTACCTAGATTTCTTTCCCGAAGAGTTAGAGTCTTTACCCCTGGAAAGGGAAATAGTTTTTAAGATTGATGTGACTCCGGGAGTAGCGCCTATCTCTAAGACGCCATATAGAATGGCTCCAACTGAATTGAAAGAATTGAAATTACAATTACAGGATTTACTGGAGCGGGGTTTTATAAAGGAGAGTGATTCAACGTGGGGAGCCCCGGTCCTATTTGTTAAGAAGAAAGATGGGAGTTTAAGGCTGTACATAGATTACCGAGGCTTGAATAATGTCACTATTAAGTATAAGTACCCATTGCCCCATATTGATGAATTTTTGACCAATTGTAAGGGGCGGCAGTATTCTCGAAATTGGATTTGAGACAGGGTTACTATCAATTGAGGATTTTGGAGAAAGATATACCCAAAACTGCTTTCAACTCGAGGTATGGACACTTTGAGCTTGCAGTAATGCCATTTGAATTGACCAATGCGCCTGCTGCTTTTATGGATTTGATGCATAGGGTCTTTAAGCCTTATCTAGACCAATTTGTGGTAATATTCATTGATGATATACTAGTGTACTCTAAGACTGTGGAAGATCACGAGAAATATTTGAGAATTATTTTACAAACCCTGAGGGAACATCAATTGTATGCCAAGTTTAGCAAGTGTGAATTTTGGTTGAAAGAAGTAACATTCTTTGGTCACATAATTTCTAAGGACGGGATTAAAGTAGATCCAGCCAAAGTTGAAACTGTTTCGAAATGGAAACAACCGGAAAATGCTACTGAAATTCGAAGTTTTGTAGGGTTAGCAGGGTATTACCGGAGATTCATCAAGAATTTTTCTAGAATTGCTGGACCCATAACTGAGTTAACCAAGAAAAGTGGGAAGTTTATATGTAGTCCTAAGTTTGAAGAGACTTTCCAAGAATTGAAAAGACGTTTGACAAGAGCACCTGTATTAGCTCTACCAAATGGAAAGGATAGCTTTGTGGTTTACATAGATGCTTCCAAAGAAGGCTTGGGATGTGTATTGATGCAAAATGAGAAAGTGATAGCGTATGCCTCTAGGAAATTAAAGCCGCACGAGGGGAATTACCCGACTCATGATTTGGAGTTTTGCTTTCAAGAAATGGAGGTATTATCTTTATGGAGTAACGTTTGAGGTTTCTACTGACCACAAGAGGCTTAAGTATCTGTTTTCTCAAAAAGAGCTAAATTTGAGACAACGTAGGTGGATGAAATTTTTGGAAGATTATGATTGCACGATAAAGTACCATCTAGGGAAAGCCAATGTAGTGGCTGATGCTTTGAGTCGTCAAGTGCAAATGGCGGGATTGATGATTAAAAAGATGCACTTGTTGGAAGAAGTTGGTGTATGGAACCCTAGACTTGAACCGAGGAAAGTAATTCTTGGGAATATTGTAGTGAATTCCATTTTGATGGAACGTATCAAAAAAGCCCAGCAAAAGGACACTGAAGTGCAAAAGTGGTTGGAAAAAGTCAAAAAGGGAGAAAAGTCAGATTTTAACTTGGGAATGAATGGTATATTGAGATTTCAGAGTCGGATAGTAGTGCCAAAGGATGAAGAGCTTTCACCGATCGAAATTTATGATACACCCTGGAGGGAATAAATATGTACCAAGACTTGAAGAGTTTGTATTGGTGGGAAAGTATGAGAAAGGAGATTGCTCAATTTGTCCAGATCTGTTTGATTTGTCAACAGGTTAAAGCTGAACATCAGAAACCATCAGGGTTTTTGCAACCTCTGGAGATACCCGAGTGGAAATGGGAAAACATCATCATGGATTTTGTATCAGGGTTACCTAGGACACAAAAAGGTCATGATGCCGTTTGGATAATAGTGGATAGATTGACCAAATCATCTCATTTCTGCCGATTAGTATGAAGTACCCGTTGGAAAAGTTAGCTAAGTTATATTTGGATGAAATTATCAGGTTACACCGGATACCTGTAAGTATTGTGTCCGATAGAGACCATAGATTTGTTTCGAGATTCTGGCAAAAGATGCAAGAAGTGTTGGGGACTAGATTGAATTTTAGTACTAGTTACCATCCCCAGACCGATGGACAGTCTGAGAGGACGATTCAAACTCTTGAGAACATGTTGAGAACTTGTGTTTTGGATTTTGGAGAAAACTGGAGTAAGTTTTTGACATTGGTGGAATTCGCCTATAACAATAGCTTTCATTCTTCTATTCAAATGGACCCGTACGAAGCACTTTATGGTCGGAAGTGTAGATCTCTGATTTGTTGGGATGAAATAGGTGAACGAAAAGTTTTAGACCCGACTACAATGCCTTGGATTGAGAAGGCGAATGAAAAAGTGAAATTGGTACGCCAAAGGATTCAGATCGCACAAAGTCGTCAAAAGAGTTATGCAAATAACCGAAGGAAGGACTCAGAATTTGCGGTAGGAGATCAAGTATTCCTTAAGATTATCCCTCTGAAAGCAAGTTTGATGGCAGGAAGAGGAAAGAAGTTACAACCAAGATTTGTAGGACCTTATAAGGTTATCCAACGTGTAGGAAATGTAGCATATAAGTTGGAATTGCCACCGAATTTATCTCGAATTCACAACGTTTTCCACGTGTCCATGCTCAAGAAATTTCACCCAGACCCTTCTCACATTCTGCAGTCAGAAAGTATTGAAATTGATGAGACGCTGACCTATGAGGAGAAACATGTAAAGCTTCTAGATCGTAAGGTGAAAGAATTGAGGAACAAACGGATTCCATTGGTGAAAGTTCTCTGGAGGAACCACGGACGAGAGGAAGCAACCTGG